ATAATAAAAGAATCAGAGAATTAACGGTGCGATTGGAGCGATGCCAGTTAATTATGAAACTTGACTTTTTTTCTTTCATCGACGATGATTCGAGGTCAAATCTAGTGATTAGAATTAGCTTAGTTTTGGACGTCTTGTGCACACGCGCGATAGCACACCTATCGTCCGTATCTTTTTCATCTTTCAAGTTTTTCCTCCTCTTTTCCTTTTCTTTTTGCTTCTTCTTTCTTTTTTGAACGAACAACAACGTTATATAGCCGACATAAAAATCTAGAAATGTTATTCCACGAAGGTTAGGATTACTCGGGACGACGCATTTGAAAGGATCGATCGATCCTTCAATGAGCACCGATCGAAAGGGTTTAAATTTAAATTTAAAATCGCACCTTTCCAGACAAGCTGAACATAAACGAAACATCGACGGTGGATCTGTTCGCGAAGACGGTATGGGGGATTCTTCGAGGGTTGGAAACGTTTTCTCAGCTCTTGATCCCGGCCGGGGATGGATCGAACGTGAGTACAACGCGAATCGTCATCGAGATGAATATGATACGAATATATAATATAGAAAAATATATATCGAGATGTTTCTTCCCTCCCCTTCCCAGTTGAAGATAAGATGCCAAAGTATCGTAGATTTCGCGAAGTTTCCGCATCGTGGACTCCTGTTGGACACGTCTCGCCATTACCTTCCCATTCACGACATACTGCTCACACTGGACGCCATGTCTTACAACAAGATGAACGTTCTCCACTGGCACATCGTGGATGACAATAGCTTCCCCTATCAAAGCTCCAGCTATCCAAATTTGTCCGCCAAGGGTGCATACCATCCCTCGATGGTGTACACGTTGAACGACATCCAGCAAATCGTCGACTATGCAAGGCTGAGGGGTATCCGGGTGATGCCGGAATTCGATACTCCTGGACATACCAGCTCATGGGGTTTAGCCTATCCCGAATTGTTGACCACTTGTTACGGTAATAAATTCACGAAGATATACCTTAATCGTAATAATTCGTATAGAATATCTTTACGTCAATTTTTCTCTCAATTCTTTCCATCCATCGAAGAGAATTTTTATCGTTTTTATCGCTAATTAATATTTATCGTGACGAAAAATGGTGGATTAGATGCGAATGGGAAGCTGAACGGTAAATTGGGCCCGATGAATCCGACGAATCCGGCGCTGTACGAGTTCCTCCGCCACTTATTCGCCGAGATCGTGCAAGTGTTTCCGGATCAATACGTTCATCTGGGCGGAGACGAGGTGCCGTTCGATTGTTGGAAGAGCAATCCCGATATCAATTCGTACATGAAGTCGCGCAACATATCCAATTACAATCTTCTCGAGAGCGAATATATCGGCAGGCTTCTTCGTATCACGGACTCGCTTGAGGCCAACACGATCGTTTGGCAGGAGGTAAACGTCTGTCCTTTTTCTTTTATTACGTTTCTTCTATCTCGTCTTATAAAACGGCCGGCAATAAAACCAAGTAACGAATCCTTGTTTCGAGATCGCGACTGAAACGGCTCGATCGATAAATATTTTCTCGAGCAAAAGGGGTGAAAATTTTGAACGTTTTTTTAATACACGTTGAATATCCGATGATTATTCCACTATTTCAGACGATAATAATATCTTTCATCGTGTAATTAATAACGCAAAGAACGGAACGACTCCATCGCGATTATTCAGAAAGGAGGAATTCAAAACGAATTGAAATGAATTTGAAATCGCGTTCCCAGGTATTCGAGAATGGGGTGGTGTTGCCGAATACGACGGTGGTGCACGTGTGGACTGGCAACTGGCCGAAGAAGTTGGAAGAGGCCACGAAAGCCGGGCATCCGGTATTGTTATCGGCCTGTTGGTACCTGGATAGGTTAGTCAACGCCCGTGATTGGAAGAAATTCTACGCGTGCGATCCTTTGGCGTTCAACAAAACCGTGAACTCGTCCCATTTGATGCTGGGTGGCGAAGCGTGCATGTGGGGAGAGTACGTGGACAGGTAATGGTAATCGTTAATAATTTGCTCCATTTCGTTTCGACGATCGCTCTCGACTTGTGTAAAATCGTCGATAGTACGAACTTTTATTCATTGATTTTCTCGTTCAGGAAGGATAATTAACCTCCTTTTTTTTTTTTTTTTTTTTTTTTTAAATGGAATAGAAATAGAATAGAAATGGACTAGAAATAGAATTGTATAATTGTATAACGCGTTTTCGTTTTTCAGGAACAACGTGCATCCGAAAATATGGCCTCATGCCAGCGCGACCGCGGAACGTCTTTGGACTTTTGTGAAACAAGACGACAACAATGTCGCTCAACGACTCGAGGAGCACGCTTGTCGGATGAACAGACGCGGAATCCCGGCGCGACCGCCGAATGGACCCGGATTCTGCGTGATGTAACGGAAAAGAAAGCAATCGGAGAATTTTGGCCACATCTTTTCTTTTTTGTTATATTTTAGATCATAGACGAATTTTAATTTTTAATCTTGATACGTGTGATACCATTTTCGAGAATCGATCGAAATTATTACAAGGCTGTTTATAAGGGAGAGAATCGAAATATAATTGAATGTTGAATTTTGTTTCTAGCAATTCTTCGTATGATGAAATAAATTCTTTCGATAGTTCGATTCGACGCGAGAGATATTTATTCAACTTTCTATAACTTTTAATATATCTTATCGTAGAGATAACTGTCAATCATATCGAGATAAAGTTACTCTAATTATATTTAATATTAATAAATATCTTTTCGAGTGTAGAAAAAATAAAAGCCAAAAAAAAAAAAATATGAATCGTTATCGGAAATTTATCGTTACGAAGATCAAACGGCCATGTTTTTCTACGCTGTTCTTCCGCCTGAGAGAGAGAGAGAGAGAGAGAGAGAGAGAGAGAGAGAGAGAGAGAGAGAGAGAGAATGAAATGACTGGCTGAAAAGAGGAAGATCGGATCGTCCAGGTAACCAACAAACAAAACAAGCAAATTCATCACTTCGTGACCACCTTTCATCCGCACACCGTCAAAATTTCAAGTGACCCCGGAAACAGACTCCGAAGCGTGTTAATGTCGTCGTTTCTCGTTAGATTGGGCCTGGTCCAACATCAGGGGATCGACGACATTAAAATTCGTGGACATGGAATGGAGATATTGGCATAATTCCCTATAATTACACTCCGCAATAGAAGAAAGTAAACAATTTTTTTTCATTTTAACAAATCATTCGTGCTTCGCGATAATTTAATCGTAATAGAAAATAGAATATTATATCAACCTTTCAGATTTTCCTCTGATACACCAATGGAATAATATCGGGATAAAATTAATCCATTTTTTTTTGTGCTCTTCCAAACAGCTTCGATATCCTAAATTGATTCTAAAACGATTTAATTCAATTTCTTGTTTGGCGCAAAAGGAATACTCCAGAGATATGTCGTGTTATCGCTCTTGCTGTTCTCCATGCTGCTCTCCACCATCCTGTCCTCCGCCATCCTGTCCTCCATCATCCTGTCCTCCACCCTGTCCACCACCCTGTCCACCACCCACTATCGTATGCAGACCAGCCTGCCCCCCTCGTTGCCCCCCTCAACCAACTAAAACAACAGTGAGTTTCAAATATATTATATAGTATTCGTTTATAATATACTATATAAATATATTGTATTCGTTTCGAAAAGTATAATACGAGTGGATTATTTATTTAATTTCATTGAAAAACTTAGCAAACCTGTTACACCTCTTTGCCGAGGGGAACGCAAATTATTAACCCTTTCGTTAGGGTTAATAACAGGGTTAATAACTTGGTAACTTATCTCGAAATTAGGTTTACCTACGGCCTTGTACGCCTTGTCCACCCTGTTGCGCCATTCCTTGCCCGCCGAAGGTCGTCGTTGCGTGTGCACCACCCCCACCCCCCTGTCCACCACCGCCTCCAAGCGTAACCTTCGTTTGTACCAAGAAGATAGTCCCCTGTATGCCGTGTCCACCGCCAACACCACCCCCCTGTTCTCCTTGTCGTACGATTTGCAGTTAGTTTCCCCATAAATATTTTCCAAGAACGAAATATGCGTGTGTGTGTGTGTGTGTGTGTGTTTTTTATACGTAATTAACGCTCGACGATGCGATTTTCTTTGGACACAGTGTCGCATTCCTGTTAACACCAAGGAGCAAGGAGTTCAAATGATTTCTTTCAAAGGATTCGGGGACCAGACTCGTGAAATCTAACGAGAATCATCGACAGAAGCGTGATATTGAATTTTTATATATAGAAAAAAAAAAAAGGTGAATTATATAAGGAATTATATAACGATAAGTTGTAATACGATAAAGTTATCGGATATATCAAAATTTAAATTATTTTTACAGGGAAACATATCTGAAATTTATCGAAGAAAAATCTCTCACGATAAGATAATGAAGATAAACGGATCGAAGAATCGTCTTGATCGACGAGGAACGGGATCGCCGTCTCTTCATTATAAACGTCCATCCGGCTACTGGATACTGAAAGTTGCGACGAAAGAAGCACGATGATTCCAATTTCGTTCATTGAATTTTTTAATCAAATCGCTTTCCGATCAGTGAAACCTGATTTTACCCTGAAATCGTCATAGGGAAGAGAATTAAAAAAAAATCGCACCGAAATAATCCGCAGAGAATTAATCGATTTAACGCATCCACCTTATTATCGAAAAAACATTTTTTTGTTTGAAACGACGCGAAATCAAAATGGAGAAATCATAGACGAGGAATTTTATTGGAGAAAGTCATCGCTATTTTTTCAATTTCAGATAATTTTAATCGAATGCCCACCCCCCCCCCCCCCCCCATTTCCACGCGAGTTCCACGTTTACGTTGCATCGGCATTACATTTTCCTCCCTAGATAAGTGCAACGTGATGCAACGTGAAAGAACTACGTGGAAAGGAATGTCGATGCTTATCGATAAATATTATCGATCTATTCGTATCCCATCATATCATCATTCTTAAATGGACGAACGTGAGTACGATGTACTTCAGTATTTGATCACGTTGATCGCAATAGAAAACAGGTACCATTCATTTTTTACTGTGATTTTTTTTTTTTATGAATCAAGTCACGTTGTCAAGGTTTTGGTACGGTTGCGACAACGGAATGACTGATTTTGTCGTATCACGTTCGAGGTGAAAATTTTGAAGTTATCTCAGAGTTTATCAACCTCAAATAAAACGGAAAAAAATATACTATATCACGTATTCTGTGTGCTTCTTTTTGTACATGATACGTAATAAAAATAGCAAAAGTATACCTGTGTCGATTTATTACCACCTCGTCCGATATATTATCTTTCGTTATCCATATTCCTTCTTTCCCATTCTTCCATTTCGATGAATTTCGACTAATGAATTTGAACTCGGCCAATTATTTCGAAACGGGAAGACGAGGAATGAGTCTTCTCTTTCTCAAAAAAGAAATCGATGTGGCTCGTGTATCCATCGGATAGGATGGATGGATAGAGGCAGATAGAAATTTTAAAATTCGAAAATTCGTGTCTCCATGGCAACGGGGGCCAAACCTTCAAACCTTGACGAAAAATCCAGCTGTCAGAGTTTTCTGTTTCTTCCGGCGGTGATGTGAAATCCGAGCTAGAAAGTTATTCGGCCTATTCTAGACGATGCTTCACTAAACATTCCTAAAAAAACTCTGGACAAAATTCCGAACGAAAATGAACAAAAGGTACAACTTTTTATCGACTCTCGAAATTTATTCCCTTCGATTCCCCACGATGCACGATGGGTCTGGTAGGGGGGCTGATCGAGGCACGGGGGGTGGGGGGCGGGAGAGAGGTTATCGTTCCTTCGGTTTGGCCGTAATGCGGTGAGATATTTTCGCGCAGGAAAACTTCAGCGGACAAAAGCAGACAGAGAGGGACGTCCAGGCGACCGAGCACCGGCAACTTACACGGAAAGGCGAACGACACCCAACAACAAAATGTTCAACGAGCCGAGAGAGTGTCGTCTACGCACAATCTAGCCGAGCCGGCTGTTAATACGCCGGTCAACAAATCCGTGGACGTTTCCATGCCGAAGACACGATTCAGTTCCCAGGATAGAAACAAGGATGTCAAATCGTCATGTTCCCCGAGGCTGAAATACTTCCCCATAGAGAAAATCAAAAAGTTGGAAACACCTCCGTCGTTCTGTCCCGAGCCGATGGGCGCTTTGATCGCTCAACAAGATCCCAATGAATCTGGAATCTTGTACATGTCCAAGAGTCCGGAGAGAAATCGCGACAGTGGCCAAGGTGACGCCACGGTTGTCGCTCAGCATTTGCATCAGCATCAGTATCACCAACATCAACCGCAAGTAAATCCATCATTTCTTTTCTCTTTCTCTCTTTGTTTTTCGTCCTCCCTCTCTTTCTCTCTTTCTTTCTTTCTTTCTTTCTTTCTTTCTTTCTTTCTTTCTCCGCCACTCGGAAGACGCAAGCGAAGAATTTTAACCGGTTCCACTTTTAACTCGATTCGAGAACGAATATCGCGCACACCTCGTTTCCTTCGAACGAAATATAAAAGTTAAAGTAGACGTTAAACGTTCGCTTCGAGCTACGATTCCAAAATGAGTGGAACGAAAGAATTAAGAGGGGGAATCCACTTTCAAAATATAAACATACGCGTATATGCTAATGTTTACTATCGAGAAATATAAAATTCTTCTGTTTATAGGAAGTAATTTGAGACAACCGAAAATTCGAACGTTATAACTCTCTCTCTCTCTTTCTCTCTCTCTTTCTCTATGTGTATACATGTATATATATATATATATATATTAATTTACTTAACAATATACGCAAAGATCGATCGAATTAAAGATTGTATACTACGAATATCGTTCGTAGAGCACATTTTCGAGGATAGCGCGTTAAAGTTAAATAAATTAATCGTTTCAGAAACGTGCGCATAATGTAAATTGAAACAATCGAAAATTTTGTTTAACTTGTTGAACAAATGTAATTTACTTGCAATATCTTAAAACGAACGTTATAACTTTACATATATTCGAGAATTAATTTACTTAATAATAATATTCGTAAAGATCGATCGAATTAAAGATTCTATATTACGAATATCGTTCATAGATCATATTTTCGAGGATAGCGCGTTAAAGTTAAATAAATTAATCGTTTCAGAACGTGCGCATAATATAATTTGAAACAATCGAAAATTCTGGTTAACTTGTTGAACAAATGTAATTTATTTGCAACACCTTAAAACAAGAAACGAACGTTATTTTAATTTTATATATATCCGAGAATTAATTTATTTAATAATATTTATTTAATAATATTATTAAATTTATTTAATAATTAAATAATTATTGAAACAATCGAAAATTCTGGTTAACTCTTTGAAAAAAAAAAAAAAACTTAACTTGCAACAAAAATTCAAATAAAATAAGAAACGAAACGAGTATCCTGTTAAATTCGAGGATTAATTTACTTAACATTATTCGAAAAGATCGATCGAATTAAAGATTCTGTGCCTTCTACGAATATCGTTCGTAGGAGAACAACTTTCGAGAACAATACAATTAAAGTTAACAAATTAATCGTTTCAGAACATGCACACAATGAGCCAGCAACAGGTCACACCTCGGCAGGTAGTGCATCAGATCGGTCACGTGAATCCGCACTCGGAGAGCGCTATGCTGTCGCAACAAGTTCCGAACCTTCAGTCTCATCGTCCTCACGTGCCTCACAGCGGCCGAGAATATTCTCCCCAGAAGAACGCTCAATCGATTTCCGCGAATCCGGAAAATCGTGGAGCTGCGACGTCTCAGCAGGCCGGTGGAAACGTTTCCGAGCAAATGGTGGAGCAAGGTCTCGTGAAGACCGAGAAGAGCTCGCCGGGCGTCGAGGAAGATACGTACGAGAGACAACCCGTGGGAGGTCGAAACGCGGCGCTTTACAGGCAACTGGTGATGAACAACAGGCAACAACAGGGTCAACAGCACAGTCCCCAGTTCCCTGGCGACGGTTCGATGGCGATCAATCAATTCGCCGTGTTGGCCAACCAGGCAAACGTTAACAATCCCCACGGTTATAATCACGTTCTCACGTGCGCCAATCTTCAAAATCCTCAAAACCCTTCGCAGAACCCGCAGAGCGTGCAGAATCCGCAGCAACTTTATCAGCAGATGCAGCAGAATATGGCGCAGCAGCAGCAGATGCAGCAAAGGGCGATCAACTATCAGATGCAAATGATGAGGAATCAAAGATGCCAGACGGCACCTCCCAATTATGGGATGACTTCACCCCAGGACGCGACCGCGACTCAGATGAGAAATTTGAGAATGATGGGACAGATGCAACCGAATTACCCCGTACAGGACCACAACACCGTTAACGCCGCCAATGGATTGTACAGGAATAGCAATAATAACAGCAACAATAATAATAGTAATCAGTTGGCCGAGTATTCCAGCGTCAAGGCACAGTTGAAATCTTACAACGTGGACGTGGTGAACGGCAATCAGACGTTGTACAGGCCGCAGAATCAACAACAACAGCAACAACAACTGCAGCAACAGCAGCAGTTCATTCACTATCAACCGGATACAATCGCGTATCAACAACAAATGCAGCCTCAACAGATGCAGCAAATGCAAGCGCAACCGTTTCAACAACAGTTGTACAGGAATCCGATGATGCAGGGACACCAGAACGCGATGGTCTACAATCAAGCAGGGTATAATCAGCAGATGAATCCCGGGCAACAGATTATACCGATTCATCAGCAACATTTGGAGAACAATCCGGAGAGAATGCAAGATCAGCACGGGAGGAAAAGGGGTTTGAAGTTCACGCATGGAATGATACGCGACCAAGAAAAATTGTTGGCCACGATGAAGCAGCAAAGAGTGCCGATAGATATAATGAAGAGGCAATTCGAAACGTTGTTGAACGAGCAACGAAAGCATTTGGAGTATCTGGAGCAGCAGGAGAACATGTTGGACGAGACGAAGCCCGTGGTGGTGACACGGAAGAGGAAGCAGCAAGACGAGAAGCCCGAATGGATGATTCATTTAACACCCCCGAGATTATCTTATCTGGAAATAGAGAGGATGCAAGAGCAACGAAGGAAGGAGAGGGAATCTCGCGAAATAGAGATGATGCAACAGCAACAACAACAACAACAGCATCAACAACAGCATCAACAGCAGAATCAGCACCAATACCAGCAACAACAACAGCAACAGCATCAACAATATCAGACGATGGAGGAAATGTCGCGTCAACAGGTTCCCGTACAGGCCATCAATCAGCAAAATTATCAGCATTATCGGCAACAGGCTAATTGGCAACAGCAACAGAGAACTTCGAGGCAATATAACAGTGCTCGACCTTATGCTGTTCCAGGTCCCGGCAACGTGAACGAATCGATAAAGACGATGAAATATCAACAACAAAACGTGCCCCATCAGTATCATCAGTACCAACAATCGTATCAGCAACCTTATCAACACGCTCACCAACATCTTCATCAACAGCCTCATCAGGAATATTACAATCCCCAACAGTATCAACAGTATCAGCAATATTATCAGGCTCTTGCTGCCCAACAACAGAATCGCGAACACGTTCAACCGTCCGAACAATTGGCCGTGTACGAGGATCAAAGCAGACCGTCCACGGAGCCGTCCAGTTTGTTGAAGATACGCAGATACAGGAACGAGATCCGGCCTCAGAGGCGAAACAACGGATTGCAGGAGCCTGAGATGGCGAAGAGGCAATTGGAGGAGTTCAGAATATCGGCGGAAATCAGGAAGGGATTGGAATACATAGCCAACCTGGCCCCTAAGAAACGGGTGGTGAGATTGAACGGGATGCAAGAGAGCAACGAGTTGGACTCGCAGTTCCAGCAACGTTTGATCACGTCGGCGTTGCCCCAATCCGTTCAAAGAATATCCGCCAACGGTTTGGAGAACAGTAGGAATCCGAACAACCCGCCGATCCAACGATTGTCCAACTTGAAGAAGATGGAACACGAGTATTTGAGGGAGTATCCCAGGCAGAAGCAGACGAATCCGAGGACGTGTTACAGCGTCCCGGCCGAAAGGGAGAATGGCTCGATGGCCATGGATCAGCAACAACAATTGCAACAATTCCAACACCAGATCCTCTCCCAACAACAATTCCCTGTTGCGCAGAACTCGAGCAAATCTTACAACGAAAGGAATCAACAATTGTTGCCACGTACGAACTCGACGTCGTACAGATTCGACGCGAATTATCCTCAACATTATCAACAGATGCAGCAATATTATCAAAATTCAAAAAATTTGGCTAGGAATCACGGGGAGGGCGATATGGGATCGACTCAAAGAATAGAGCAGAACAAGGGGAATTTCGATCACGCGGGCGGTGACGCGAGCGAAAATATGAATAACGGGGCGATGCATGGACAGGTGGCGGATGGGAAGATACCGTATCAAAGGATATATTACAGCCAGCCGGATATTCACGAGTCGAGAACAATCGGGGGTGTGAGATATTTGGCCAGGAAACAGGATTACATGCCCAATCAGTAGCGGATCATGACGAAATGAAAATTTTAAATTGATTTGACAAACTTCTTTTCTTTTCTTTTTTTACATCGTTTTATTTCTTTTTTGTAGTTTTGTTTTGATTGGCACGTCTTTTGTGCATTTTTTTAGAAGAACTTTTTATTGTCTTTGTATGTGATTTTTTAATTATTTTGTAGCGAACCCGCTCCTTTGAATCAACGAGTCATTTTATTCTGTGACTGACTGCTTGATTTCAATGGGATGTGGTTTGGATTTTTATGAATTTTTGAGAATAAAATGTTTTTAATAACCCCTTTCTAAAACCATCGATCTTTCTTTTGTCTCGAGGAAATATTTTGAGAAAGATAATAACAGGCAAGAGTATCGCGAGCTCGTCGACTCGGAACGATAACGAACGTGTCCACGAGGTCCTATTTCGTCCTATTCATCTCGGATAGTTGTTCCCTTTCGACCAGCCAAGTACATCCTCGTTGCTGGAATCGCTGCTTTTCTTCCTTCCTTCCTTCCTTCCTTCCTTCGCGCGCTCTGTTTCCACGGAATTTCGCTCTCATCTAGAGATTGCTGTCTGCCAATGGAATACCTTCCATCGACAAAAGTACGTTTGTCTCTCATCCCCTCCCTCCCTCCCTCCTTTTCCTCTCCCGCCTAGTAATTCCTAATTTCTAACGCCGTTGGAAACGAAATTACGATGTTGATATATACATCGATACGCCCTGTTCTGCTTTTGTTTTTCTTTTCCCCACATGACAGCAAAAATGTTCTAAATTTACGGAAAAATAAGAAAAAAAAAAAAAAGAAAATTCCTTAATGTAATATAAAATTCGCCGTGAATGAAAAAGTTCAATTAAAAAATTAGTGGAAAACATGGATTGCGGGTATCACAATTACATGGACGAGATGCTCCAGATACTTAACGAAATCGAATGCAGGTAAATTGTTTCGCTTTCCCTTCGAAGGGAAAGAAATTGAAGATAATGTATTATTCTCGAATCGAAGAGAGAGAGAGAGAAAAAAAAAAAGAAAAAAATTCTTGCAGACAACCAGAACCGGAAATATGCAACATCAGATGCCCACCGTTCGGCTGTCCACGAGGGCCTTGTCCAGGAATATGTTGCTATCAAGGCTTGTGCGATGCTTGCTCCACGTCGAAAATGCCCTGTGATCCACCACCCCAACAGCCACCCAAGTGTCGAGCACCGCCCGTATGCTGCCTAAGAAATTACGCCAAGTCGGTCGGCTATCCTCCAGAATCTCCCCTCTCCCCGGTCAGCGCCCGATTGCGTTCCAAGTATTGCATGGAAATATTGGCAAATATCTGTCGTCCCCCATATTGTACCACTGTGCCAATTTGTCCGTCACCCTGTTCCACACCCCTGCCCTCCAACTGCCCTCACCCTTGCTACTGATTAATTATTATCCATTGACTCTTGAGAATCTTTTGAAAATTGTTTTTTCTTTTTTTTTTTATGAAAAAAGTAAAAAGGAAAATTGTCATATAAATTTCAAATTGTTAATTGCGTTCATTGTCAAAGATAAAGATTGTATATTTACCTTTTTTTTAAAGAGATAAATGTATAATAATAATTTGCATGTTAAAAATAAACATTTTTTTGGAAATATAAGGACAATATTAATAAATGTTGTATTCCAATGTTGTATATTTTTTTCATAAAGGAGAAAGAGTGAAATCACGATACAACAGATCGTTCTTATAAAGGAAGATTGTCATTTTACATATCAAATTATTAATTATTACGTTCACTGCCATAGATAAAGATAAAGATTGTATATTTAAAGAGATAAATATATAATAATAATAATTTGCATGTTAAAAACGAACTTTGAAAATATTTCTCTGCAAATATAAGGACAAATGTTGTATTCCAATATTGTATATTTTTTTCATAAAGGATTAAGAATGAAATTACGATACGATAGATTGTTCTTTTCAAAAAAAAAAAAAAATAAAAAATATTTCGCGTACATGAATTTGCATACACGTTCCTCGTTATCCTCTACATCCGTTACATCTAACGAATACAAAATGAATTTCTAATTTGATCTAGAGTTTAGGACGATTAGCAAAGTTCAAGAACTCGCGAAACTGGATAAACTTTGACTAATTTTGGATTAAACCCGAAAGAGCCAAAGCAATCTATATACATATATATATATATCATCAGCGATATTAGATTGGAGCATCAAGTGGTGGCGTGATTTGCCGCTTCCCCTAATCGAGTTTAAACTTTAATTAAAAAACTCAATTGTGAAATTTGTCTTTGAGCATCGTGAAAGATAATCGAGATAGAAGGATGATGTTTCAATTTCGATAATCGATACCTGTGTGAAGTTGGAGAGGTTAATTGCTTATCGACATACGCAGACAATTATATCTACATATATAGCGAATTTTTTAAAATATCGTCGAATGAGAGAAAGATTTTAAATCGGATTTTTATATCGGGCAAAATGGAGGAGAAGAAGAACGAAGAAAGAATAGATGAGGAAACGAAGAGGAAAATAATCGATCATCTCTGTGAATTTAATACGACGCAGATCATTAATTGTTTTTTACGCAACTCAGATATATACTACACGAAAGAGCAGGACAAAGAGGAGGTTGGAGGAATCCTTTCCCCCCCGTCTATCTTGATTATTCGTAATTATCCTTGTATCCATCGTAGATCGTTGGCCGTCCATCGGAATACATGAAGCAAATGTTAATGACGACCGAGGAGAGGACGCAATACGTTATGAAATGGAGGCACAAGCTCAGATTACCATTCTGCATGAACGGCGAGCATTGCTACTTCCACATCAGCCCCAACATCGTCGTATTTCAACAATTCACCCCTGGCATGTACTTGAGCGTGATGGTGACGATTCGAAACGTGACGCCGGTAATTCGATTCGAACGTTTTTTACAAACACGATCCACTTTTCTCGTGAATAAAATTATAAAGTTACATAAAAAAAAAAAAAAAAAAAAAAGGTATCGAGATACGTGAAAAACATCTACGAGACTAATCCTTTCTTCGCCGTGGAATTTTGTGGTGCCAATTTCTCGACGATGCTCGCGCCTGGTCTCTCCGTTACTTACAGAGTGAAATTCATGCCCGAGAGAAAGGAAGATTATCAATATCAGTTAAAATTCGCGACAGATATTGGAGACGTGATCATACCTGTCATAGGTGAGATATGTTTATATCTTCTTAATAACGAGATCGATTGAAAATTTTGAATAGATATTAGAAGAAAAGAATGAAAGAAAGAAAGATCAAAAGAGATTTAATTAACGATTTAGCGATCAGTCCGAGAGGGATCTTGGATTTTCCCGATCGTATCGAGATACCGGCTACAGCGGCCAAGATCCCCTCTTTCAAAACGATATTTGTGCGCAATGTGGGGGATATAGCAGCTGCTTTCACCCTTTATACCGACAAGTGAGTTTCGTTTAGTTTAAAAAAAAAAAAAAAAAAAAAAAACAATATCAACAACGACTTTAACGATCGCATAAAATTGCAGCCCTTGCTTCTGGATCGAGCCTTCGAAGGGAAGAATAGAGGAGGAGGAATCGCTTCAGTTTATCGTACACTTTCTGTCCAACAAGGCTGGAGATTTCGAGGCGAACTTGTTCCTCGAATACGACACCGGTATATATCAATAGGCGAAGGCGATCGAGAATCGATATCGTTGCGTTCGATATCTGTTCCAGGTGAAAAGTTGTGTATCGATCTGCAGAGTTCGGCCGAAAATTGTCAAATTCGAATCGACAGAGGCACAGTCAGATTGGAGGAGACATTCTTGGGCCTGTCGAGGAGCAAGACCCTGTTGATCCACAATAGAAGCAATTACACGGTCAAGTATAAGTGGATGCTTTTCGAGAGCATCGAGGCGGACAACGAGCGAAAAGAACAGTGAGCGAGACGATATGTACAATTCTTGGTTGTTCGAGGGACGAGTAACAAAATATAGCCAATTTTTTACAATCGCAGTTACAAGAAATTGAGCCAACTGATTTACGAGAACGAGCTGCCCCGTTGCGTCAACCTCGATTATTACAACGTGTGTACACCTAATATCCACAAACTGATTTATCAACGTATCTACACGGATCAGCTCGAGTCGTTGGTGAAAGAAACGTTCGAGTATAAAAACATGTATTTCTTTCTCTCACCCATAGTGAGTATATTTCGATTTCAAGAATCGAATTCATTCTCCAAAATCCAAATTATTATTATTATCCAATTATTATTATTATTATCCAAAATCCTCCTTTTATCGTTCAATTCGAATGGATTTACGATTGGAAAGAGTTTTTTTTCCCCCCTCCTTAGGAGGCAGAAATTTGGCCGCAATCGTCCATCGAGGTGACAGTCTATTTTCGCGCGGTGGAGCTAGGTGAAATAACGAGCACCGCTTATCTAGAGGTAACTGGTCGCGAAGAAAGGATACCAGTGACGTAAGAAAAATTATATATATAAGATTCCTCCTTCCCCCCCCCCTCCCCTTTTCAAATAATATTCTTTCGCCAACAGTCTTTATGGAACAGGGAAAGGGCCGATTTTACAGTTGAACGTTCTCACCATCGATTTGAGCAACATCTACATGTGTTCCGTGCACAATTACGAGGTACGAATCCATCCCATACAGATTTCGTAGCGAAATTCTTCCATTCTTTCGTCAAAATTAATCTCACCCCAAAAACCGCGAATCAAATCAAGGATATTGTTTATTAACCCTCCCCCATTGTTCCAGATAATAGCGGGGAACAGAGGGCACATTTGCGGGACGCTGATTTACAAGGAAAAGCCAACCGATTTCGGTGGCACGATCAACGTGACACCCCCCAGCCTCAAACTGAAACCGGACGAGCTCAAATCCTTCAATTTGTCGTTTTCCTCCCATTATAAGGGTGAATTCGTGGAGAGGGTCGATTTCGTGGTGAAAGAGACCCTCGAGGTGCTCAGCTTGCATATCAAGTACGTTGCACGGGATCGATGGAGGGGAGGAATGATCTACCGGTCGACACGACACGAGACACCTCTTCTCACGATGCGTCGCCTCTTTGCGTGTTACAGGGGTTGCATCATATGCCCGACTCTGCACTTCGACAAGGAGAGCCTCGATTTCGGGACGACGGCCCTCGGTACGTGACGTCATCTTTGAATTAGGGTCGTGCATTTGGAAGAAGATTTCGTCGAAAATCTTCTCGAAGGACGATCGAATACAAAGCTCTTGAATATTATTCACGCGATCACATTTCATTTAATCATTTAATAAAAGTTAAAAAAAAAAAAAAAAAAAGAAAATAATCGAACGATCCTCATCCCAGGTTTCAGTACGAGGCAAGACGTATATTTGCATAATCTAGCCCTGATACCAGTTGCCTTCACCTTAACCGTGCTGAACGACGGGGATGAAGTGGCATTGACTCACGAAGAGTTCGCGAGAAGTCAAACGAAACCGTCCTTCCCGAGCAATCCCCAAGAATTCGAGATCTCGCCCGAGGAAGGGGTTGTAGCTTCCAACGATTCCATGAGAATCAAGGTATCTACGAATCTCTTCCTTTTCCTTTCACAGTTTTTCGAATCACGGCTTGCTGTTCGAAAACTACACCATAGGTGATTTACACGGCCAATATCGCGCGCATCGGTCACACGATGATTCAAGTCGACATGTGGGACTCCGGCTCGCACCCCGTCCTGTTACCCATCACATTCAAAGGCAAAGTGTCCCCATTGACGATCGTTCCCCAGGACATCACGGTCCGATTCTGCTTCCTCAATTATCCGTATTCGAGAACCATCGACGTGACCAACAATTCGGACATAGACGGATACTTTTATTTCATACCGCAACAAGTAACTATTTTATATATATACATATATATAGATTTGAATTGTCTTCGATCCCCGTTGTTCGAGGCCGCGTAAAAAATCGAAGTTCCCCATAATTGATGGAATAAAAGAAAAAACACTCTTCTTAAGACTCTTTCGTATCGTTCATGAAATAATAAAATTCAACTGAGTCGGTACGGTTATATAGGAAATCTTGGTGATATTGCGGTCTCGCTTTATAAAGATAGGGTACAAAAATTGGATTTTCTTTTTCCCGATTCAGGTCACGGAAGACGAAACGATGATATGCTCGTTCTCCAAGTATCAAGGATACGTGAAATCTTACAAATCGTGTACAATCGATGTCACTATTATGATGAAGGATTTAGGCACTTATACGCTCACGTTAAGGTAAAAAGAAAAGAAAAACGATCAGATTCGATTATTTTCAAATTAGTTACACCGATACAAGTGTATATTGTTTGATCAGTATGTACGCAATGGGAAGCACGTTTCCATTATCGTACGTGAGGATAACGTGCACCGGTCAGGGGGCTGTTGTCTCGACGGATCCAAGCATCCTGGACTTTGGCAGGGTGAAAGTTCTCGAGGAGAAGAAGATGAATTTCGAGCTGATCAACGATTCACCTATCCCCACTCAATTCGCTAGAGAGGTATATTTCTTTTCATCGTCCGACTTGATTATCCCTTTGCGCTCCAATGGGTGACTCTCAGCCACTCGACTCGGTTCGATGCGGCGACAATATTTATTTACGTTCGATTGTTTTGAAATATCGCTTCGTGAAAATAGATTTCTAAGCTATCCACGTATATAATTTTATAAAGCGTAGAATAATATATTATCTACGAGAATGGATTTTTTCAACATCAAATTAATATATTAAATATTTCTTTTCTTTGAAACTTAAAATTATAGTATTTTTAAAGGTTTAGAAAAAATTTTTAGCTAATAATTTTGAAATAATAATTTTTTTTATTTATCATAAAAAGTAATGCGAATGAAAATTTATAAAATAATAGAAAATAGGATTATAATTTTTTATCTTTTTTATCAGGATCGATTAAAATTTTTTTAAAAATTTTAAATAATCTCGAAAATAAGAGAGCTATATTTATATAATTTTTTTTGCAACATTAAAATTATAAATATAGATTTATAATAATATAGAAATTAAATGTTATTCAAACTTATTTATATCTAATTTTTTAAAAAATAAATTTAATTCAAATATAAAAATAGATTTTTTTTTATATCAAATTAAACTGTAATCGCGGATCGAACTATATTTTCGTTACATTTAATCCGAATTTGATAGTCGTGGGAATAGAAATATTATTTTCAAAGTTTTTGAGTTTTGTGCGAAGATGAGTTTGATTTTTCGTTATTGAATAACGAAATTATTTCTATTAAGAAATTTCTGTTAAGAAATTGACTTATTGAACTGAATTATTGTAACGTTTGCTCTCAATGAAATAAAAAAGATGAAAGACATTTTATCGCGATACTTGCCCTGACAAACCAAGCATAATCACTTTATTATTAAAATATCGCAAAACAACAGACTTTAATATCCACCAAATTTTCTTTCTTTATACGTAAAGATATATAAAATATTTAAAAAGTTTTATACGTTAATTCGTGTGTGAAATCATTTTAAGCTAGCTAAGAAATTCATCGAACGTGAAAATCGTGTTGGATTCGGCCTGGAGCGCAAAGGGTTATTCATTAATATAATTCGAGGAGTATCGTTGACTTTTCTTCTTCTTCTTCTTCTTAAAGAAACAGAACAATTCATCGTGGACCATGGATCCAGAGTTTGGTGATCTGTTGCCTCACGAGTCGAAAACCATTACCATCAAGGTGTTCCTAGTGAACGCTGGTGTGTACAAAGACAAGATCATGTTGTCCGTGATCGACAGCAGAACCATTCACGTGGACGTAAAAGTGATAGGATACGGATGCAGCGTGATTTTCACCCCGCAGATCTTCCCTATCTTCGACTGGGGCCTACTTTTCAGGTTTCGATCGTCCATTAACATTCGTTGAACGAATTTCATCGTATTCTCAAATCTTCTCACAATCTTTAAATTAATAATAAGGAATCGTGAGGCATCCTCGAGAATAGACAATGGCGTAATTCGTGTTTGAAAATTAATATTTAAGAAAAGAATCGCTTTGTATTAACTCGGCTTTTACGCCATTATTTAAATTAAAATTAAACTGAGATTAATTCCACTGATCGGCTCTTCACATCGCGCGACTCTTCACCATTTAACTCAAAATGCAATTTCGAAACACACGCGAGTTTAGAACGTGAAGAGGCTCGAGCTTCTTATATTAATTACATTATATTCAAATAATTGTTATTGGTACAGTCATCAACATATAAATCGCACGATAACGCTGATGAATCGGGGAACCGTGGCGTATCAAATGATATTTATAAATGAACCAGATATACATTTCCGACGTGGCCAATTGATGTCTACGAAAAAGTAAGAAAGAACCGTTTCTCACGTTCACAGCGTTATACTAACGTTGAATAAATTCCTTTGAAACTGTAGCAGCAAGTTCAAAGTGGAGCCTCAAATCGTTCATATACCCGCCGGAGAAACGAGAGAGGTCAATTGCCGATTATTCTGGGAGGTGTGAGTGTATTTGTTGAAATAATTATTCGCGTGCAACAAGAATTTTCTCTCTGTTCGAGTCTCAATAATGTATTGCTTGCCCTATTAGGAACGAGCTTGTGGTGGAAAAGTGGTACGTCTTCGGCCAGTTACAAGACGTAGGGAAAAGGGAATTGATCGACACGTCGTCTTTCACAATTACATTGACGGAACCATATATTGTGTTCAATAAAAAGATGCTAGAATTTCGCGTGGACAAATGCCCCACTGAAGATAAGTTGCAGCAAACAGGTTTTTAGTTGAATGAAATAATACGGGGGGGAAGGGTTGACAATCGAATTCGTAAATTAATTATTATCGATTCGCGCGATTATTTAAATTTAAATTCATTTTTGGAAGCGCACTTAAATCGATTTTTAAACTGATCAATGATGGTGAATCCTCTGACATTGCAAAGAATGCAATATGATGTTAAATTATGCTCGTTGTCAATTATTGTCGAAGAGCAGCATTGATATTTTGCGAGAGTGGTCAATCATGACTGTCAACGAATTAATATGAAATATCGAAAGCAAAATAATTAATTCGTTTTCAAGACAAGTGGACAGGTGGAATTGATAAAACGAGTATATTTTGAATGCGAATTCGTTAATTGTCACCTCGTTGTGGGATTAGAATTCTTCCGAACGTTGTTTGATTATTCTTCTGTTCCAGATGAATTACTCGTGACCAATCAATCGAATCTGGATCTGAACGTGAATCTTTCGACGAAAGAGCCGTTTTATTTGATAACACCTAAGAAAAAACGGGTTCAAACGATGAAACTTGTTCTGGTCGATAAAATTTCCACGAAAATTACCGTTTTCTTCTCCTTCGACACAAAAAACAAGAATTTTTATTCGAAAATCTACGAGGAGGTTCTTCTGTTCGAGTATCGGGAACATCCTAATCGTGTAAATTTTACATTTTTCACAAAGTTGTAACGATCGAGTTTTCCATCGATGTCGATCGCCAAATCCAATTTCGAATCGGAGAACCATTAACGATTCGAGGAAAAATATCCATCTTTCAGGATAAAATAATATGCAAGGGTTACGTGAATTATCCAAACCTTCTCATAGAGCCGAACGATTTTATAATTAACTGCGAGTTGGGCTGCAGCGCCGAGAAGATATTGACGTTAACCAATAACGGGCCCGTATCGGTTGTGTATAAATTCCTGTGGCTCGAAAGTTCCATCGATATAAAACGCGATACGCCCGTCAAACTGGTGAGTTCGATTATCGTTTAATTTTCCACTTGTTAAGAAACTGTGCTCGTCAACGTGCCATCTAAATTGTTCGAAGGGATGCCCTGGGTGCCCGTCGCAGGAACAATTAGAGTTGAAGAAGGACGTTTTCGTGGCAACCGAGACATGCGAAGATCCTTGCACAAGCGACAGGCAAAACGGAAGTGGAAACGGACACGCGATAGCGCCACCCGTAAATTGTACGAACGATCGACACTTCTCTTACGACACTTCCTCCTGTTAATCGCGAAAAATTGTCACTTTTCTTTTACAGCGCCCGTTTCAGAGAAACAAGAAACGATAGATGGGAACGTCGAGAAAAATAATTATCCGGCATCCAAACAAGAAATTAGAAAATTTCTATTGGAAGTCGTTGGACAATATTTCGAGAAGGACGACGATCTGATCGTGTTACAAAACATGAATGACTATCCTCCACGAATCGATTATATCAATGAGGTTAATAAAAATGAGATGGAGATGTTAAAGAGATATATATATATATATATAATCCTTCCTTCCCTCCGTTCGAGCTTTAAAAGATTTTCTTTCAAAGCCAAAATTCGAATATATTTATTATTTCTACAAAGAAATATAATTCGATTCGATTTTATCGCCATCCACGCGTAATCCATCCGTAAAAATATACTTTCAGGTTTTGCAGATTATTCCAAACGAGGGAACAGTGCTTCCGTATTCCGTGCAACGAGTTCACATAGGATTTCATGGCTTCGAATGGCTTCAAATAAAAGCTACCGCTGTCTGCCAGATTTTACGGGGGCCAACCGAGAATGTTCATCTATTCGCCCGGGCGGACAACGTTCGATACGATATCGACAACGATGTTATCGATTTTGGCCAACAAGTATCCATGCTTAATATTCGAAAATGTAAAATGTAAAATATTTATTAAACACGTTTGAACGGAATATATTTTTTTAATATATCTAGTTGTTTCTGCAACGCCAACGTAAAAATGTCACATTAAAAAATATCTGCACGATAACGTTCGATTTCGAGATAAAAGATGCTGTAAAGACCTTCGACGAGGAGTTCAATCGTTTCAATTTACATCCATTAAAGATCGAGCCGGTGAGCGGCTGTGTGAATCCTGAATCGTGCGTGCAATTTCAAGTGGATCATATAGCGATAACGCTTGGTCGTATCGATCATCATTTCCAATTGGAGGTAAATATACAATTCCAATTTAATTTTTAAACAATTTCTGTGATACGACGATACGTAAAGATTGTAAAGATTGTAAAGATTGTATACATTTATTTTTGTAAAATATTATATTTTTTTTCTATATTCTACCATAAAATATTATATCTTGAAAGGATATATGCATAAAAGTATACAAAATGTGTAAATAAATTTTACAATTGGAATTGAATGGAATGATGAAAAAATGTATAATATTATCTGAAAATAAGAAAATTTAAGAGTAACGATATGATACAAGATTATCATTGTTGAAAATTTCGATCGATATCATGATAAAATTTAAACAATCTGAGAAAAATTTCATCTCCTTTCCAATTATATTGCCAAATTTTGTTGCTAAAAACTTTAGCTTTATTATTAATTTGATATTTTCCTGTAATTTCTGAGCGGATATTTTTCTGAAAAAAAAAAGAATTTTTATTCAATTATTTTTACGATTCTGAATATTTATATTCTTCTGTTCCATATTCTACTGTTTCCATTCAGATTGCTCACTTAATGCCCATCATGATCAAAATAGTCGCTTATGGAGTTTTCCCCCAAGTCTATCTGAGCATTCCCAAAGGAAAATTGCACCAGCACCATTCCATCGAATTGGAATATTCAGCAATACAATCATTGACGGAGGATTACATAATGGATAACGTAAGAAATTTAACAATTTTCCGAACGTTCGCAGAAACATTAATCAAATTAAATGTCGCACAGACAGTGGAGAAAGAGGTTGTCCAGAAGAAAAACGATTTATTCGAAACAGACATGGACATACTAGCCGGTAAGTTTAAATAATTTCATCATCATCATCCATGGAAAAGGATGAATTCAACTTTATAATAAGAATCGTTGAGATTTATCGTGGTTAAATGTTAATGTTTTCGTTCGAATAAAAAAATGAGAGAATTAATCAAACAACTCTCGAGTGTTTTTTTTTTTTTTTTTTTTTTTTTTTTTTTTTTTAAAGAACGTTCCTCGTTTCGCTCTTTTATATTTGATATTACATCTGTTTCATTCGAGCCGAGGAATGGTGCGTTATCTCGCACGAGGAGACGTTTCCACGAACGATGGACATCGACATGGCTGTGGAAAGATTGTGCGCAAAGAAGTTCATCGATGAAAATACATACATCTTGATGCAGCATACGATTCAAAAGAAGGAGCCGATCCCCCAACTTTTTTCATGCGAGTATATTATCGGTACGTTTTCCTTCTCTTAATCTTTTTTTTTTTTTTTTTTCTTACTTTATCGAACGTAATTGTGCACATTTACATTATTCGATCCGATACATTGTGCAATCTCGATTGGAAAATTTTAAACGTACACTCTTATACAAAAAATAAAGAAAAAAAGTGACAATTGCCAGGGATTTTTCGATAAATTTTTAGAAATATTTCTAGACTTCTATCTAAAAAAAAAAAAAAAAAAAACAAACAAAGATTCATTGCGAAGTTGAGGAAACAAAATTAAAAATAAGTACAATGAATATACGGATACTTTGCGTCTTTTTTCTTTTCGTGATATTCAATCGCAAAAGATATTAAACATCTTTTATTGCTGTTATCACATGCTTATATAGAAAAATTGAATTGGAATTAATTCTGCATACGGAAGTAAAAGTCGCGTTATAACTCACTCAGCGCACGCCATTTTGACCGAGAGTGTGTATATATATATATGTGTGTGTGTGTGTGTGTGTATCTCGTTTCAAAAACGATCAATTATTCATAGAGATTTCCTTTAATACTTAATAAGATAAGTATCAGTGATTTACCTTGTTCCCAGATATGAATTACGTGATCATCGAACGCATCGCTCATTATTCGGTCAATATAATTAATTACGGGCCATGGATCGTGAACATGAAAATGAAACCGTTAGGAAAGAAAGATTATCTCGCGAGAAACGGTATCGTGGTTCATTTAATGAAAAACACCAACGTGCCGGTCGGAGATTACGCCGTTCTACAAGTGACTTGGTATCCAACCCAAGAGAAATTCTCCGAGAAGAGCACGAACGTGAAATACACGATTTACATTGAAGTAAGCCTGGTCATCTGATCAAATTTGATCTGAGTTAATAAACGGGTTAAAAATTAATTTTAGGTGTCACACGGATGCACGATACCTGTGACCATAAAAGGGATAGTGACTTATCCATTCGTAACTGTCAATACAAAATTTTTGGATTTCCAAGATGTCGTAGTGGGAGAATGTTTGGTTCTTAATATCCTGATCAAAAACGAGTAATAAGATTCGCTTTACTTTCGAGATTATTAGATAGTTTATTTATTAAAGAATTAAGTATATTTTTTTTAACTTTTCCCTTTTTTCCATCGTTCTAATAACTTGCGCACTGATGTATAATAGATAAATGAATTTTCAATCAAGCTATATCAGCATATTTACACAGTACTCGAATGGACGAGCATTTTATTCGTTGCGATCAATGTTCTACGTATTTCTTGTAATTTCGATCAATATGCTTTCTTTTTATCTTCATATTACATTTCACAATAATTAAGATTAAAAGAGATCTTTGTCACATTTGATTATCACAGCAGATCAAACTATTCTATTCTGCCTTTGTTCCGATTGAGATCTGTATACAGAATATTTGGATTTACATCCTCGTGTGTAGATCCTCGTGTGTGAAAATATCGAAATGAATGAAGTTCGGCCGAGTGACCTATATAAATTCCTGGAAATGCGTACAGGAATACTAGAAGCGAGAAAAAACTGCTGACTCAGCTGTCAGTGTGTAGCTCATGAGAACGTGGGCAGCTTTTTTCCATTGGTAAAAAAAGTCTTGTTTCTCGGCGTTTGTGAGAACCATTGGCGTAACTGACTGATTATTCTTTATTTTCTCGTACATTAGCGTAATCATTGTTTTCTTTTTTTTTTTTTTTTTGAATTCANCATTTTTATCTCCGTTTCTTATTTTATTTTATATTTTATTATTTTTTTTTTTAAATTCATTTTGTATATATTATAATAAGAACTCAAGAAATTATATCGCGTAACATTCAACAACAAAGCACTTTATGAATTTAATTTCGCCGGAATGCTTTCGAGAAAATTGCTTTCCATCTATGTTTTGCATCAGAATTGTAGAATTAGGAAAGTGGCTAAGAATTTTTTTGCCTTTTGAAACACGCAAACACGCAATTCCATTCTTGCACGAAATTTTTTTTATCTCAGAATATATCCAAAAGAGACACGTTATTCCATATGAATAAATTCATGCAACGAGTCGAACGCCATTGTTTTCTTTCGAAGAAAAAGACCATCGGTCTTATTCTTATATACTTTCTTTAAAATTCAATTTCAATCAAAATAATTTCTATTCGAGGAGCCAAGCCAAGTATTTTGAATCCGCCCACCTTATTTACCAGGGTGGAATTGAAACGGATGGAAGAAAGTGCAAATACAGTCGCACGCAACGTGGCTCTCTTGAACATTCTACGATCCAACATTTACACTGTCAATTTAATTTCAATTAAATTACGTTTGATATCTTTGCATATTTTCCTTTCAACTCAAACTCACTTCAACCCCCCGATCTTAAATATTTTTCCAGGGGATTAATCGATTGCAAATGGGAGACAAGATTAGTGGGCGCTCCTCGGAAGAAGCGGAAGGAATATTATCCATTTTACGTCGACTACGACTCGAATCGCAGTTCACCGGGCCATTTTGAAATCGTTCGCGTGTATTTCAAGCCTCGAAAGACGGTAGGAATAGAAAGAAAGAAAAAAACGATATGCAAATTTTTTGGCAAGCAATTCCCTTTTCATCGAAAAAGTTCGTCGTTCCACAGTGCTACATAGAAACGAAATTGAACATAATCGTGGACATGAGCCTCGAAATGCCCGTTATCTCGCTGACCGGACGTGGAATCGAAAAGAGTTTAAATATAATCAAGTCCAATATACATTTCAATCCCGTTATTCCGTTTACGGTAATCCAAGAAATCGATTTCACGATTGAAAATACGTGCCATTATCCCGTGGAGTTCTTTTGGCATCATTTGGACGAGTAAGAACGAGTAAGAGTCTGGTCATCGTCGTATATTTATTCATATTTATCATACAAATTCTCGAATAAATTTTCAAAAAAAAGAAAAAATTGAGTCACAGGGCACACGAGTACATCTATACGGCACTGAAACTCTTTCTCACTGCATGACCGACCGAAAACTCGGTTACCACGGTTGCCTGCGTACAGGCGTTTTCAAATACCAAATTGCTTATAATTTGAAAAATAAACGAAGCGACCAGGCTCTAATACATTTTTCTCCCCCTTTTCTTCCATCTTGGTATAATTATTTATCACTAAACAACGGATTATCCAGAAATTTTCAGTTGGAGGAAGACATAAAGAAAACTCTGTTGCAATACTACAACATGAAGGAAATACTGTTGCCTCTGAAGAAGCTTGGCGAGCCGATGATACCATGGCAATTGATAAAATTTTACAAAGAGATATTGAACGAAATGGCCCAGTCGTTAATTACGGACAAGATGGACGAAGAGGATCGATTTGGCGAGGAATTTTTCACCTTCGAGAGCGTCGAGAAGGACACGATGAAGAAGAGCGAAAAGAAAGGGTACAAGTTATCAAGGAAGAGAAAGAAACGGAGAGGAATGAATCAGTACGGGAAGAAAACGAGTATTCGTGGATCTAGTCGTCGTCGAAAGAAGAATGAGATTGCCAGCGATTTGTCCACCACGGATTCGGAGAGGAGGAACTGCCCTACCTTTTCAATTTTTGATGAAACGATGCTGAACGATGTTCCCCTACCCACCACAGATCCCGAGGAAATTCAACGTCTTCTCTTCTGTAAATTTTTATATTATTCCTCTTCTTCTTCGTTTCTCTTCCTTTTCTCCTCCCCGTAACGAAACGTTGCAATTCCCGTAAATCTTTCCTGTTAACCGGGTTTATAAATAAGTCTCCAGTGCAAGTTTCAGTTTTGGGTAACAACGAGAATTTCCCCCGTTTCGAGGTTACATCGACAATCTCCATAAGAATCCAGATTTACGGTTGAAAATGAAAGATCCGGTGAAGGAACTTTTCGAGAGCGTGGAGAAAAAATCGGAAATCGATATTTCAGATTTGGAAAAGAGATTTCCCGAGAAGAAAGTCTGCATCATTTTCCATGGAGCACCTTTTACGGGTATTTAATGAACTACTTTCCTTAACTTTGACTATACACATTCCTTATATTGTCGAAAATTTTCTATCGTTTATAGAGTATCAAGAGACTGCGTGCAGAAGCGCCAAAGTCTTGGGAATTCCTGTTCTCGGTATCGATAAAGCGATCACCGAGATAATTGCGTTCAACAAGAGCACGTGCGCGATTCAGCTTCGACAGATGATCGACGACGTCTATCAAAAATACATCGAGGCTTTTGAGAAATCGAAGTACGATTCCAGATCCAATCGTTGTTAATCTCGAAATTCAAAAAACGATCGTGAATCGTCGAAACATATAAGATACTATAGATAAACTAGAGGCGCCAAGTATTCTTATTTCCTCTCCCTTTCTTTCCTTCAAATACGTGGATATATACTATATATTTGTTAGGCAATATTTGGAGCAGGAAAGCACCGACATCGAATCGGAGTCGAGCAAAAAGGCGTCGACCAGAGAAACTTCGAGTAGAAAAAAGAATTCTCGGAAAGAGAAATCGTCGAAAAGTTCGTCGAAAAGGAACACGTCGCCGTTATCTACCAAGAACGAAGTGTCGATGTTGCAAGAGGCGATCATTCGGCTTCCCCCGGATCCCGATCCCATCACGGAATTTTCTAAAATTCCGCCCACCGAGAGATTGGAGTTGCTCGACCCTTTGACGAGATACGAGTACAAGATTCAAAGTGTTTTATTGCTCGAGAAAATACTCGATCTTCGTGAATCGCCCAAACTGAAAGGGAAGAGTCCGAGGAAAAAGGAGGAAACCGTTTCTTTCTCGTTCCGTGACATTGATCCCGAATTAATAATCGAAGTTCTTCAACAAAGGTTCTTCGTTATGATTTTTAAGGGAAGGGGGAGGGGGGAGGGGGGGAGGGGGAAATTGGTAGAATTATCATTAATATTTAATTAATATTCGAGATGAAACGATTCGCAGATTGTCTTCGGAGGATTTCAAGCGAGGTTTCGTCGTGCAAAGTTTGAAGAGCAATTTCTTCCAAAATAACGTGTTTGAGGCTTTGCTCGCTGTGTTACGGATCGTCGGTTACATCGAATACTTCCTATTCGTCACGTTTCTTAACTCGATGAATTGCTACGAGAACAAAGTCGAGCAACGCACGAAAGAAATCGGTATCAGTTCATTCTTACTCGACGATCGAACGTTTGTTGTAATTTCACCTTCTTTCCAGAGAAGGAAAAGCCCGATCCGAAGCAAAGGATACGGGAAATCGACGAGATGTCGGCATCCGAATACGATCAACTTTCCAACGAGGATAAGAAGATGTACATAGATACCATTCTACCCCGTAAAAAGGAGGAAGCGGCTCGTAGGCGAACTCGATTTATGGAACGAATGATAGAACGTACAAAGAGGAAGGTTCTTAATTTTCTTCATCCCTCGAAAGGAAAAGAAAGAGAATAGATTCAAAATCGATTACATTATCGACGACGGGATAATTTTAGAAATTTATTATTTCTGTGAAATTGGAAAACTTTCAACGTTGCTTCTCTCGAACAGAAGATTTAAATCCGCTCGATTTATTACGTAAACTTACGATATATATATATATACGACCATTTTTTTCTTTTTTTCGTTCTATTTTCAGGAAGTTCCGAAAATAAAGATATCCAAACGGGTGTCGAAACGGAGCACGAAAACGCCGAAGACAGTAAAGGAAGTTAGTAAAACCTCGAAGATAACCTCCAGCAAACAAGAGACGAGTAAAGTAACGAGGAGTAGAGACAGTTCGAGACGAAGTAATTGATTAATAGAATCTGAACGGAATAACGTGAATATGTGAATTCTCTCTCACGATGTTTATACCCGTAGGGAAAGAAGAAACCATAATTTTGCCCGAAGTTAAAGAAATCATGATGGCTATGGATAAATATTATTCCGAACTTTCGTTGATTGAAAATGTCCTTCATAATTGGGACCCTATAAAAAAGACGATAGTTGTTATATTTTTACCCATATCTTAATTTTGTATCCTTTGTATCGATTAATCGACAACGGTTTATTATCCCCTGTTTAGGAAGCATCTCCTACAATCAAGTCTAAAGTGCCACGAAGCGGTAGATCCAGAGAAGTGGGTCCTTCCGATACGGGGATCCGAGAGGTAATTTATAACGAATTGCAATTTTTTTTTGCGCACAACAGCAACAACTATCGCACAAAAGTATATATGTATATATATATATATATACATACACAAACCTAAATATACGTACAAAGATTCTTAAACTAGGTGCCACTTAATAATTTCCACATATGGTACGTGAAATCCAACGATCCTTGGGAGAAGACGATGTACGACATGGTCGTTTCTCAAATGGGCGAAAATACCTCGGCAAAGCTCGCCATTCGTAAGTTGAATCGACGAATTCAAACTCGCGTAAAATTAATCTATCGATTAACACAGCTGTCGAGGTGGTGCCCGAGCCAGATCTTCGGCCGAAAATGTATTCCATTATCAGATGGACGTCTATCGAGAAACGAGTGAAAAAAGTTCCAAGCAGTAGGATATCGATATAGAATATCCATTAATAACATATCCATGATTAACAATAATCGTGAATTCATCGTATATTTGTTATATACAGTAGTTTACAATTTGGTTTCCCTAACGCCTACCATGGAAGTTTCCTGCACCTTCGAGTCGAACAACACGAGCGAGTTGAGCGTGCAGGAGAGCAACGTTAAGAAAAATCGAAGAAGGAGGAAGAATCCGTCGAACAGGGAGATGGAGGCAACAGGGCAAAAATCGACGAGCAAGGAGAATCAATCTTTGACGATCGAGAGCAGGGACGCGAATTTGTGCTTGGCACCGGAAACAATGGTGGAAGAGCCGTTGAAGCCACGATGGATATTGCTGCCGGGCGAAAGTCAGAGGTTCAAGATCCGATTTCAACCGGAAGAGATAGGCCGCTACGAGGAAACGTACGCCGTGACGATAGCCGAGGGGAACTGCATCACTTACGATATAAACGTTGTCGGTATCGCGGACGTGCCGAGGCTCGACATGAATCCTGATACCATTTTCGCGAAAGTAATTAAACGAGTATACAAATCGTGTATAAAGTAACAACTTTTCAATTTTTCCTTCCTTTCGTGCTTTTTTTCCACCATTGTTCTATTTCTAAATCTGATCATGCGAATATTTTGCAGACCATGGCCACCAAATTGCACGTGACAGACAATTCCGTATACTTTCACGACACGGGGTTGTACGACTTCGGATCCCAGCTGCTTTTCCATCAAGATCAAAAGTTTGTTTATCGCCTTCCTCCTTTTTTTCTTTTTTAATCATCTCTTGATAATCGTATTACTTTTTCTTCTAAGAAATAAATATTTTTACGTTTATATTACATATTATCGAAATATACATATTATCCAAAACTGGATAATTATTCTCCCCGTTTCGCAATTCGAGCGAGGCGAAATAAATCGGAACAAGGTGTCGGTGGAACGAACCGATTCCAATTTCCATCCAAGGGAATTTGGAATCGAACGTTCCGCTCCAACTTGTGCGAATCCGCTGAAACTTGTGTCGCCTTACCTATTCCCAGGCCGCACTATCGAAAAGCTCGGCTCAAGTTTTGCAACATTTCCGAAGTGCCCGTGGAAGTTTTCTTCTCCCTTTCCGAAAACGACTGCTTTTCCATCGAACCACAGATGCTTTATATCGACGTACGTTCACCCACTCGACGATGTCTCGTTTAATCATCTCTCTTTCGTTTAATTGATCGAATTAATTCACGCAGCAAGGCAATTGCGCGACATTGATCGTGACATCCGTCGCGATCAAACTCGGGATCATCAAAACGAAGCTGTTACTGTGCATCACGAACAACCCGAAAGTCGAAATCCTCGTGGTAATTATCTTGAAATTTCCAATGTGGGAAATCCAATGTTAAAACCCTTTTGAAATTCGAGTGTATATATAAATATATAAATTCAAATCTCGAATTTAAATTTCGAAAATTCAAAGCTTGGTATATAATTTGGTATTTTATTTTTTCACGCCCCGCGTTGGAATCATTCTCGGGAAAATTCAGCTTCAAAACGAGGGCACCAAATTGGATATCGAACTGGACGGGAAAAATATGTTCTTCGGTCGCACTCTGCTCTATCGAACGGAATACAGAACGTTGACGATTATAAACAATACTCCGGTGTCGTTCTTCTGGTTCTTGGAATTCGAGGAATCCGTCAATTCTCAAATATCGTTCACACCTCACGAGGGAATGATCGATGCCCACAGCAGACGAGAAGTGGAATTCCAGTACAACGCTAACACGGTAACGCCCCTCCCTTTCCAACTTGTCAACCCTTTCGTAAAAAGCGTAAACGTTGAGCGGTCTTTCGCCTCCGAGTCTTGCCTTTGTAACAACGTTGCTTTTAAGAGAAAAATAATTCTCATTCGTATGTATCGATGTATTATTTAGTATATATTTAGATATATTTAGATATATTTATTTAGTTTTCCTTGAATAGTTTATTTAATTTGAATCAAGATCGACCCTTCGCGCTCGACGAGCAGTCACCTTACGGATAACGTAAAATCATTAAATTTCTTCACAAGTCCATTCTGAATTGTTGAAGAATCTTGCTGCTTTCGTTTTCTCTAATGTCACGCTTAATGAACACGATCGATCTCGTTTCCCAACAATTCAAAATCAAAAATGAAATCAATTTCATCTTCGCTCGAATTCGCTAATTTTATTTTCGAAATTTTTTTTAAGGCTTCACGATCTGAACCAACGTTCGAGATATTGTCAAGACCATAATTTTGGAGGAATTTAAGATGAATATCTTAAATTAATAATATCTTAAATTTCTTGTCTTCATTTTAAATTATTTCCTAATAAAGAAATAAAGAAATAATAGCCAAGGAAATCCTCACGAATTAATCGGGGATAACGAGATCTAGCATAAATAAAGAATTGCCGCGTGAAAGTCGTCTGAGAGTCGTCTCTCGAGCGCAAAGGATTTTTTTTTGACTGAAGAGCGAAAGGGTTGAGCGTGTCAATCCTGAAAGAATTTCTTGGAGAAATTTCCTACAGATCGGCATGGTGGACAAGAAAATGATAAAGTTCAATGCGTTTCTCGCCAAAGAAGATTCGGATGCCGTTTTTACGGAAATTATCCTAGTATCGGGCGAGACTTACGACGTTATGGTGGACATCAACGACGCGAATCCTATCGATTTCAAAAGTATAAAAGCGGAATTCCCCGCGAAAGCTACGTTCACCATGAGAAATCGTGGCAACTATGAGGTGAAATACGTGTAAGAGTATTATAATAATACTGTGCGCGTTTCTCTCTTTTCCATCTCTATATCTCGTGGCGAATAAAGCGAAGCGGATCGCGTATTTTTTCGGGTGTAGAATAACGTTGCAAGAGAAAGAGAAGCTGAACGAATTAAATCTGCCTCGTAATTTCAAGAAGAACATCCAAGTCGACCCGTGCAGCGGAACCATTCCGCCTCATACGGAGAAAATCGTAGAGGTTTGTGGTTTCTTTCTTTTCTCCTTTTTCCCCCTTCTCTTCTCTTATTGGATAGAGATAAAATGAAATAAAAAAAGAGACCCGCGTTGAAATTGAATTTTAATAACCAGACCCTTCGTTCTCTTCGTTTTACAGCTGACATTACATCCGAAGATGGAGTTGGTGCTTAAGGAAGTTCCGATATTAATATGCAATTTGATCGACATGCAGAAGAAACTTACTATAATCGCGGAGATCCCTTTAAAAGTTTCCCTCCTTTCGTTTTACACGAGGTACGAGGGATATCGTGTTGAGAATTTTCGCTTGTTTCTCCTCGTTGAGCGTTGATAAAAGTGGAGATTTATTCAATTTCCCCCTCCCTTCCTCCCTGGAATCACTATTTAGATTTCGCATTCACCCGTTCCCTGTGGTGAACTTTGGAACAATGTCCATATGCACGGAGAAAACGATGTTCATTAACATCGAGAACACGGGGAAATTTCCATTGCATTATTTCTTTCGATTGGTGGAACACCCATCCGTGGTATACATGACGAAATTGTGGCCATTAGAGGTTGAGAAGAAAAAACCGATTATAACCGAGGTGCTAACGAGAAAGATAAAAAAACCAATCAAAGGCGTAAAAAATGACAAGTACGCTTCTTTCTTTCTTCTTTTTTTAAATTCGACCGAGAAGATCGAAAAATCGATTAATAATCGATATCGAACCATATATATGTATAGATCTCTCTTGGAACCGGAAAAAATAATATTGGGACCGATGACGATAACGAAGCTGGAGGGTAACGTGGACGTTGGTCAAATGGACAGTATCGCCATTAATTGTTATCCGGAATTCGTGGGCTCCCAAGACGAGCAGATCGTACTCGTCGTTCCCGATACCATACCCGAAGACAAAGACGGGAAGATAATCACTTTATCGGTGACCTCGTCCATCCCTTGCATCGATTTTCACAACTTCGACGCGATATTTCACGAAAACCACGTGGTCGAAAGAATTCAAGACTTCGAGTGTTCCAACGATGTGCGTATCGGCCATCGAATACACGTATATTATAACGCGTATTACAGAGAAAATGCGCGTATTACACGGAATTTGTTGGGTAAATCTATCGATGATCGCAGATTCGAATCTCTCCTCTTCGTTTCCCTTACAGATCGGCCCGCACACCGTGTTTGCCCGCCAAGAGAGGTGTCTCTACTTCCAGTACATCAGCGTGCAGAGTACTCACATGGCTTGTTTCAAATTGTTCAATTACGGCATAGTCCCCGTGAACATAAGTATCGAGCTCATAGAAGACTCGTTGTTACCCGATATGACAAGGTTCAACGTGTTCGTCATAGAGCCGATGTACGAACAGATCCTTCCCATGAACCACAAAGTGTTCACCGTGTCCTTCACTCCGAGCACCATAGAGGTGAACACGAGTTTATACGAGCAATCATAAATATATGTATATAAAAATGGACGAATTTTTTACGCAGACGTTTCGCGCGAAATTTCACGCAAGAGTTGTTTTGCCCCCGCATCTGGAAGGGGACGAGCTGACAGTGAAATTGATAGGGGAATCTTGCGTGCCGGAAGTGACGATCACGGAGCCGATCCATGCGATACGGGAAACACCTTGCTTGAACTTTCCACGCACGTTGATCGACGAAGGCACTTGCAAATATTTCACATTGGAGAACGTCGGATTCATCAAGGCGAAAGTGATCGTTGAAATAATGGAGGATCCGAACAACGTGTTCACTTTCTTCCCTTGCCCGGACACGCAGCATTTGTTGCAAATTTTGGAAGAGTATTGCAACGGTTGTTCAATCATTTATTTATTCATCTCGATCAAGGATATATATATATATATCTTCGATTTTATTTTTTTACAGAGCCGTACAATCGATGCACCGTGATACGCTTGGGGATCAAAGACGTGGCGCGTTTTAAAACAACGTTTGCGCCCGAAAGAATTGGAAAGTTCTACGGGAAAATTCGTTTGCACGTGATCGATAATCCTTACGAGAATCTAACGATCAATCTGGAGGGGGATTGTTACGTGGAGGCGATCGTGTTGGAAGGTCTTCCCCTCGATGACAATAAACTTAGAACCTCGAATATGGGCAATCGAGAAAATTACAGGCGGAAATTAACGTCCAGGCAGGCCTCCTTGTTGTCAGGTAACGAAAAAAAAAAAAAAAAAAAAATCTGATCCGATTAAAATTTGGAAAATTTATTACTTCCAAATCGATTTAATTTTATTAGCTCTACAATTTTACAATAAAAATTAAGTAAAGATAAAATATGTACGTTTCACAGAGTCGAACAATCAGTCGGTGTACTTGCCCTATCTCACCTATGTTCTCGACTACGGGCTTTGTTTCGTTAGTAAAATGTATAAAAAAACATTTAAGATCATCAACAAAACAACGGACCGATGGTTCCGTTTCCAATGGGGTTTGCATAACCACGTTGTGTTCGAGCCATCCACTGGACATGTAAAGTATCTCACGTTCAAAGAGATCGTCGTTACTTTCTTGGCAACGGAGCCCAAAATTCACCAGAACGTACGTTTTTACTCGAATGAAACCTGTTGTCATTGAATCGTGAACGAAATAATCCCAAAACATTTCACCCATCCTATATTATTACTTTTTCTCGAAAATTTGATATTAAGTTGTAATCTCGCATTGCAATTCTCTCTCTTTCTCTCTTTCTTTAAATATATATATATTAATAAACGATAAAATTAATTCTTTCTTTCAAGTTGATGATTTTTACTCCAGACTCCTATCGAGTGTTCGATATGCGAAATATTGGTAGAGAATCCGGATGATGAAATTGCATGGGACGACAGGCAAACGGAAGTGCAATGGAGGAAGATATATCACGATTCATCGATGAATGACGATTTGTTGAAGAAGATCGTGGAACCGACCATGGAGTCGATTCACAACATCGTCCCTGGAACGACGAAAATTCTTCAACTCCTGTTAAACGCCAACGTTGCGTATTCGGAATACTCGTGCATCGTCGAAGAAATATTTTTCAAAGATACCTTGATGTATCAGGTTATTAATTATCGTCCATTTAGTAGAATTATTATTTCGTAATATATATATATATATCGATCGGGAAAGAAAGGAGAGAGAATAATTACGAAATAATTTTTCATTTTCGCAGACCAGGGAGTATACGTTCACCATAACGAATCCAGGTGTCGTGAACACGATGTACATATGGAAGATAAACATGGACGAGCAATACCCGAAGAGATACCTTGGAGAGAGTTCAAACGTGAATTCGAGGCAGAAAATATCGGAATCCTCGAGTCACGTTTCGAAATCGTTCAGGGGAACATTGTCCGCGATGAGTCAAAGAAACTATTACGAGGACGACGTGAGCGCGGACGACTCAAAATATTTTTCACAACAATGCACCTCGTTCATTACTGGTAATTATAGTAACAATAGTAACAGAGGAGGGGAGTTTTTCGTATTTTCAATTATCAAGAAAAACTATCTATCCGTCCCTCCTTCGAATTTTCGTCTCGTCGTATTTGGATACATCTGTAAGGGGAATATGACGTATACGAAAATAAGAGGAAAGAACAAAGGAAATAAATCTATGGTAAAATTATTCATAATTGCAGACAGCGTGGATATGGGGAAAGGGTTGAGCACGACCAGGCCATCGGATCTGTTCAGCAGCACCGCCGGATTGTCGGGAAGAACCACCGACAGTTGGCTGGAAGGCGACGATTTGCCGTTCGCAATCCACCCTGAGATGGGGATGATACCGCCCGGAAAATCCGAGGAATGTACATTAAAATTCTCCCCCAAGGATGTATTTTATTACAAGGCATACCTTACGTGCAAGTACGGATTCGATGGAAGCGTGTAACATAATATACGTGCATATAGAATAGAGAGAAATCATTTTTATTTTATGTAATTTCTTTCTTTTTTTTTTTCATAAAACTTACCGCATATCGATGCGAGCGAAAGAAAAGAAGAAGAAGAAAAAAATTAAAAATAAAAATACGAAGAATATATATATATATATATATCGAAAAAAACATTGTAAAAATACAGGATAGAGAATCTGAATCCGCATCTGCCGATCTTGATGATACCAGTCATGGCGAGAAGTTTGTTACCGTACTGTCACTTCGACGTGCAGGAGAGCGACTATGTATCGAGCGGGAGGCGTGACGCACACCTACCCGGTCCCGTGGGATACGAAATAGACGATCCAGATCTATGGCGGAACATCAGGGTAATCGAATTTAAAGTGATCGGCATCGGCGAAACCCACGTGAGGTAAGCGTACTTTGAAAAACTTCGTTGCGCGAACTACACGATTCGCGCTCGACCAGAGACGAATTGGACTCGTCGTTAAGTAAAATATAACAGGATTAGAAAAGCCATTCAATGATCAATTCCCCCTATAGATTCTATACGATAAAGTACGAAATAAATGTAAAATTCATCGATAACTTTCTTATTGTTCGGATGGAAAAAGGAAAAAAAAAAGAAATTAGAATCATAATCGAAATGTTTGAATGAAAATCGATTTTTTTAGAAAATTCCACTTGGTCAATCCTACCGTGGACGATTACCATTTCTCGTGGAAGAATCGAACCCTTCTTAGCGGGATCGAGATATCGAATTTTCACTGCACGGTGACCGAGGGCATCGCTGAACGCGGGAAACGTACCGACATGTCTTTCACGTTTTTGGCAAGCGATATCGGAGTCTTCGAATCGTTCTGGCTCTTCTCCATCGAGAGATACAATCTGGAATGCCTTTTCCTGGTCGTCGGCATCGTGACCGAACCGTTGGTGTACTGTTTGATGGCACACGTGAAACTGAAGCCGACAATCTTGGGTCCGACTCTCGAACCATTTCTTTATCAATCTGCCTTCTTCCTTCTTCCCTCCCCCTCCCCTTCTTACTTCCATTCCCCTCCTTCCATTTCATTCGAGACAGATAGGGACCGACTGTTTATCTTTCCGCTCTACTCTATCTGTTTCTCTCTTATTTCTGTAAAAGCAAGAGCAAAAGTGTGGCGAGGACGGCGAAGAAATATTACGAATGAAAATTAATCTGCATTTGCAGGATTCAACGTGAGAGAATCGATAAAATTTCTGAACAACGAGAATTTCCACATACCGTTCAGAGTGTTGGAAGAATCCCTTTACTCGGAGGGTAAATTTCAAAAACTCAGCATCACCCCAATGACAGGAACCTTCGTGTCGAAGTGCGAACAGCATCTCTGGTGATTCTCCTACCCCTCCCCTCCCCCTCCCCTTAATCGACTTCGGGATGGCACGAACTGAAACTCGTTTTTTTTTTTACTCGCGTTCACAGGATCGAGTACTATCCAACCCGGGTCGGTGAATTCAAATTTTACATTCAGTGCGCCGTGAAGCTGATGAAAAAACCGATTACCATATTAGTGATCGCCTCCGTTTACGATATATCACTCTCGGTTTCCTATTGCTTAAACGACGAAATCGTGACAGCTGTTAAGAATAAGGAGAACGTTATCGACTTTGGCAAGGTGAAAATTAGGAAAATTATCTCTAATCGGGAATCGATTTGAGAGTAAAATCTAATTCTCTTATTTCTATAAAAGCAAAAGCAAAGTGTGTGAAGAAATATTAATTCTATTATTATTATAAATTAATTATAAATAATTAATTAATAGAGACAGTTATTTTTTTTCACCGGTGGACACTGGTCTGAAAATAATTTTTATTTCGAACACAGCGTTCAAAAAAAAAAAAAAAAGAAAAAATGAAAAGAACAGAAAGTAATATCGTTTTCTTTTTTTTTTTTTTTTAACTTTGCTGCGAAGATAATACCCGAAATACCGATCACCGTCAAATTCGACATAAAGAATACCTGCAAAGTGGCGTTCTATTACTCTTGGGAGCTCGGCATCACGCCAGAAATTATGTTCAGAAATTCGTACACCATAACGGTGTCTCAGAAACAAGGTCATCTAACCAGCGAGAATCAATGTAGCTGTTATTTAACTTTGACAACATTTCAGAAAATTCACATAAAAGATCATTGCGTTTTGCTGAAAGTACGTATATTATATGGTCGATGATGAGACTCGTAAAAAAAAAAGAAAAAAAAAAAAAAAAAAAA